GGATATAAATAATTGAATTGCAATGCCCACAAATAGGGGTGTGGAAATATCCAAAATATCTTATCCTGCGATAAGACGTGACATAAAAAAACAAAAAAATGGAAGTGCTGGACGAAGCAACAGAAGCCGCTACATAACGCTATAATGAGAATATTTGTCGCTATATCAATGCTATACAGGATCACAATCTGAACTAAAGAGTGGAGAAGAACAGACAACATAATGCAGCCGATTAATTACGTACTCAGAGATCGTAGCTGTCATGTGCAGACACATCGTTATGAAAACGATTAATATGTTATTTAACGATATCGCACACTCCTACCCTTGAATTCAGGCCTCAGGTTACACGGATTGGCCAGTGTTTGGAGAGCTGCAGTGATTCTCCTCTTATGTTCATTAGAATAAGAAGGAGCAGTGAGGCTGGCATGACAAATATGAAATCACCATTTGTCCGCCGGGTAAGTCAACTGTTTTTTGGCACGCACGATGAATGAGGTTTCAGTTTCCCCGTTTGGTCCTTTCTGTTTTTAAAGCAGTCGGTCAGCTGCTTATGTAACTTTGGTGTATCAGCAGAGAAATTAGTCACAGTTTGCAGCCATTGTAGTGACGAGGCGAGTCAATCAAATCAAAATCTTAATGACTTCACAGCCCCAAAAATTAACACATGATCAGAACATTTAGAGGCGCCATAGGATGGTACTGAACCAATCGCCTGACAGATTGTAACGACCACCACGAACGACGAGAGGCCAAATATCCCCGATCTCTGCGACTGTAGTTTCCTCCTCACATCGTCTCCTCTTCTTCCCCTTCACTCTTTTGCTCTGTTGATATCTGCACACCCACACCCTGCCCCCCCCCCCCCCCCCTCCATCCCGGCAGGATGTGACATCATGGCAGCCCCTGGAGCTGTTCTGATCCTCTTTGAAGTCAGGACCGTTCTTCACTCAGAGCCTCATTAACATTAATGAAGAGGATGAAAATATTCTCATCTCATATCCCATTTTCTATTTCCAGTCTCGTCAGATCTACACTGTGTGTGTGTGTGTGTGTGTGTGTGTGTGTGTGTGTGTGTGTGTGTGTGTGTGTGTGTGTGTGTGTGTGTGTGTGTGTGTGTGTGTGTGTGTGTGTGTGGTGTGTGTGTGTGTGTGTGTGTGTGTGTGTGTGTGTGTGTGTGTGTGTGTGTGTGTGTGTGTGTGTGTGTCAAGAAAACAGGTAGACGCCCCTGATAAACAAATGGACATGAGGCAGCTGTAGAGTCAGTCGTTTCTCAACCTCTCTCCATTTTTCAAAAGCATCTCCAACATTGATCCTAGTTTGAGCACGTTTCTGCTCGTGGAGCTTATTAGAAACATGCAGAGGCTTTTTAGGTCGGGTACAATCACTTCTATCTGAACCACTTCTCTTGCCCGCTTCCATCACTGCAACACCTGTTGACCTGATAACTGCTCTCATATCTGGTAAACCGAGGGGCGTCCAAAACGGTCGCAACATAGCATGTTTCATTAATGATCATATAGTAAGATCAATTTATAATAACGGTTACTTTTTATCACAGTTCTACTTGTCAGAGTCCTTCATCCACATTTTGATGTCTGCGTTTATGTATCGCTAAATTCATATAATCCTGATCCCTTTGACCTTTCATAAATAATTCAGACGTGTGAAACATGAAACATCACTGCGGCTCTGTTGATTCAATGGGATCAGTCATATAGAGTGTACATTGGTGCTGGCTTACTAGAGAGAGAGCGAGAGAAGGAAGATAGCAGCTGACACATTCAATGGAGGGGTTAACAAGGAGATGAGGAGGGTCAACAGGACTAGATTACACCCGGCAAGCACTTAACAAGCGGAAATCCACTTTTTTTTTTTTATTACTGCGGATGCCTCTGACATCACGTCTCTGAAGGAGCTGCAAAGACAAAGGGGACACGCACCACCAGCTAATGTGCAGTCATCTCACTGAGGACCGTAATGATGCCGCCATTAATGTAAATGAAACATAATTGTACACTCTTTCTGCTGTAATGTTTCCAGAAAAAGCACCAATGTCGAAGTCACTCAGTGAGAGTTGGCAGCTGAGTCACGTCTGCTTTACTGTGGGCTCCACAGATATGCTTTAAGGGCTTTTTTTTCCTCTTCCTGTCTCATGTTGTTTGATTTTTGTTCTTTTAGTCGCCACATTTTCTTCCTCTCAAACACTCTGGAGCAGATTCCTCTGGCTTTCTGCTCCCAGCGCTTATAAACAAGTGGAGCACACACACACGCGCGTTTATAATCAGTGTCCACACACACATGCAGACAGCAGTACAGTCACCACATAAATATGTACGGTCAGGAAATGCACACGTGTGTTGTACAGTTATTTGATCCAGGAGCAGACGCACTGTGCTAAACTTTGGGACTTAAATTACCCATATTAGACCGCAATCCACAAAACACGCAGCCACACAATTATTAGTTTCCACCACTTGAATGTGACTGTTTAAAAGCCTCCTCTGTCTCATTTGCTGCAGACCATCAAGACATACATCTAGACCCACTCAGCCTGACGCAGAGGAGTCCAAGTCAAGTCCAGGCAACCAGGCTGTAAACATGTTAATTATGCTGTAAAAATAGACTTTTTGAATGGGTGTGTATGTGACTTCCTGTGCTTCTGCAGCCAGCCTCTAGTGGACACTCGAGGAACTGCAGGATTATACACCTCAGCATCGGCTTCATTTTTCAACACCGGAAGTTTCTGCTTAATGTTAACGCAGCATGTAGGAGAGAAAAAACAATTGAGATTCCATCATGATGTAAATCCATCAGCTGCTGCAAAGTGTTAACACAGTTCAGCTTCTGTTGTCAGGAGGGAGCACATTATCAGAGGTGTAAAAGGCTCAGTGGGTGAGGTGTGTTTGTGTCTTTGTTGTCAGTAGCAGCACACAGTTCATGCAGCAGATACATATTTCCAGGCCGTTCAGAAAGTCTTCTCAATCACCGAGTAGCTTGGGTACATGCAGCGGTGCGCACGCACACACACACACACACACACACACACACACACACACACACACACACACACACACACACCTGATACACACACACAGAAATCTGTGAGTGCAGACCCTTTTGTATGACGCATTCCTGACATTCAAACATGTCCTTTTCAAAACTCTAGGTGTGGGTCTCTGTGGACGTGGATCTGATCCCCCCGACGGCTCTTTTTCAACCCATTTTCACTCCCTCATCTCTTCCCCTCAAGCTATTTTTGACTTTCACTTTCTACACACACTCTCTGCTTGTCAGTGTCCCCCCACTGCTCCTCTGGCCCCCCTCTCACTCTCTGCTTGTCAGTATCGCAGTTACAAACAAATACTCATTTGTTGTCCCTTCTTGTCATTTTCTGCTGTTATGAGTTGCAGTCATGCGACAAAGAGTTGACGGTTTCCCTCACTTCCAGCGCTGTGAAACATATCATGATATGATGAACACATTAAAATGTAGCTCTACCAGTTTTACACGGTGAGGTCAGTTTACCTGTCAGCAGGAAGCCCACTGTGTGTTGTGTCTTATGTAAGCTACAACATCAGACTTGACATGAGTTTGACTGATGTTGGAATTAACCAGACGGACAGCAATGGTGTTACATAAAATGATATTGTGTCATGTGAAATGGAGTTTACATCATATCTAGGACCAGAAACCATGAGCTCCATGTCTTTACTTCCTTGTTTTTCTTAAGGGTATGATACAAGTAAAGATCCCCTCAAGGCAGTGTCTTTAAATTTGGCACAAATATCTGCTGGGACTCGATGAAATGATTTGATTCTGAATGACGGGGTCAGCATGATCACCTGTGATGACTCTGTGATGTCCGTCTTTTTGATTTTGTTCAATAAACAGGTACACTCCCCGACATCGTGTGGGACACAGGCTCTCAGGCAGTAATTCTACCTGTAACGGGTCTTGTGTGAGTCCACTAACATCATGGGATTGCACTTTCTAAATTGCTGTTGTCCATTTAAACACAAGGCTCACCGCTGATGTCTCCAGGTTCAAATTACAAGGAGAAGTCTCTGTGTAGTTATTAAGGTAGAAAATACAGCCAGAGACCCACAAAGCACGTTTCATTTGTTTGGTGCTCCGGGGTGGTGAACGTCTCTGAAATCTAGTATGTGAACTCCCTGTTTGTGAGCTCTTAATAGCACTCTGTAGACCAGCACTTCTCAAAGACTGCATCCTGATTGGACGGTCAGTCAGTCCAGACCCAGCACAAACCTTGTTTAATAAATACAAGATATTTCAGTTTTGTGTTGAATGATTGATCAGAGAGAGAGAGAGAGAGAGAGAGAGAGAGAGATAGATAGATAATTTAAACCTCTTTGTGGCGTTTTGTGTTACATCCTAACATCTCTGTGTCTTCAGAAAAGGTTCTGGTTTGAATCCCTGTCTGACAGGAGCCTCTCTGTGTGGAGTTTGAATGTTCTCCCTGTGCATGTGTGGGTTCTCTCCTGGTACTCCGGCTTCCTCCCACAGTCCAAACACATGCTCGTTAGGTTACCTGGAGACTCTAAATTGTCCGTAGGTGTGACCGAGTATGACTGCTTGTCTGTCTCTAAAAGTCAGCCCTGAGATATACTGGCGACCAGTCCAGGTTGTAACCCCGCCTCTCGCCCAATGAAAGCTGTACATATAAAGTACAAGAGGATAGATGTGTTGTTGTTGACAGCAGAAGTTCTGGCCGAACAGAACATATGACGTTGCATCACCTCTAATCACAGACAAGAACATCTCTCAGGGTTTTCAGACCCTCTAAAGAGATAAAAACACATAAAAGAAGAACAAAGAGGAGAATTCAGAGATGCTTAAGATGCTCTCTGATATGGATGGAGAACAGAGCGTTTCCTGTGTGTCGGTCACTGAAAGGCGTGTTTGACCATTATGAGTTTTCCTTCACCTACGATGGCTAATGAGTTTCCTTCTTTTTGTCTCCTTTGTTTTTCCTTCAGTGAACAGAGTATCTGCCAGGCGCGAGCTGCTGTCATGGTGTATGACGATGCCAATAAGAAGTGGGTCCCAGCTGGTGGTTCCACGGGCTTCAGCAGAGTCCACATCTACCACCACACGGGCAACAACGCCTTCCGCGTGGTGGGCCGCAAGATCCAGGATCATCAGGTGAGTGGATGGAACCAGTAAAGGCCGTCTCCCCTGAGAGCTGCAGACCCCATCCGAGTGACAGAACGTCTTACTGACTGTTGAGCTCTTTTTCACACACAAACAAAACCAACGTTCATGAAAGAATGGACAGACACATCCAGCCACACACACCATGTTTGTGTAAGAGTACATTAAAGGGGACATATTATGAAAAATCCACTTAAACAGTGTTTCTGAACATATATTTGGGTACCGACCCACAAAATGTGAAATAAACCCATCCAGTTCTTTGTTTGTGGTCTTTATAAGTCTTACAACACAGAGAAAAATGATCCGTTTCAAATGTGCTCTCCTTGTGATGTCACAGTGGGATTTTGGTAAAAAAAAATCCCCTCCCCTCCCCTCCCCTGATATCTCCACCCATGGACTCCACCCCAAGCTTAGAACAAAACTTTTGCGCAGGTCAGCCATTTTTATTCTCACTACAGAGGAGAGATGTCTACGGGGAAAACTCAGGGGGGTCATTACATTTAAAGAGACATACACACCAAAACGGAGCGTTCTGAGAGAGCTGGTTTATACAGGGTCACAAACCTCCTCTGCTGCTTGATTCATGTTATATTTTGAACAAAGCACAGCACAGATGTTTCATTTAGACCACAGGAGGACTGTTTGAAAAAGTGGAGAAGGAGGATCATATGTCTTCTTTAATATTACAAACAAGCTAACAGAGAAAACTATCTGCTACCTGTGAGTGAATCTCTCCTGTTAGGTAGCACACACACTATCCTAACAATCCCACAATCCTCTCTGCCTCCATGTTTGAGAGTTCTTCTATGGCTGGAGGGATGGAGTGAGTAGGAGGATGAGAAGTCTCAGTCCCTCAAGCCCTCAGTGAGCCTGACGAAGGCCACAAGCTAGAACACGTTAGTGTCACAACAACTAGATCGCATGTTTGCCTCCTCTTATTTTCCTCAACATTTAATTTAATCCACTAATTAAATCAATAACTCTGCTGTGATTATGGCTCCACTGGACCACATCTGTGGCCACAGGCTGTTGGAGGCGTTCCAATCATCCATCCGTCCGACTCATTCCTGTAAATCTCAGGAATGCTTTGAGGGAATCTTTAGAAATGTGACAAACAGGCTCACTGAGATGCACTGCCAACTCTTTTTATGTGTATAATGTAAAACTACCAGAAAAAACGACCTGAAGAAGAGAATATGTTTTCCAACGATGTATCCAAGTATCATTTACATGAAGTTTCTATCACAGCAGCACATATAGCAACAGCACGGCAGCTTTCAGTAGCAGCTCACACTTCCTCATGCAGCGGTCTTTGACGTAACATCCGGTGTTTCCACGGCAACGATAAACATGTCGTCTCTGTCATGACGGCCGCCACAACAAGACACGTACGGTTACCACTATAAAATGAAGGATTTCTCTGGCTTTGATAACTGTTGGAAATATTTGATGTAATGTAAGAACTCAACAAAACAATAAATAAAAACAGGTTTAGGCCCCGTGTCCACCTAGCGTTTCTTTCTCAGCGCCAGCGTCTTTTTTTCAGTTCTTTTCAATGGGTAGAGAGCGTTCTCAGCAGAAAGCGGCCTCCAGGATGAAAAGCGCAGCGCCCAGCCTCTTTTTTTAAACAAGCGCTCTGCCGTTTTAGTGCAGCCGCTCCGGGGTAGTGATGGGAAAAGCAGTTCTTTTCAGTGTACTGAATCAGTAGAATCAGTTCAGTAAAGTGATTCGTTCAAAAGATTTGTTCACCGAATCGTTCAGTAATTCTCACCAGCTCTGTCTGTGAATCAGAATTTAATAAACTGAAACACGGCCGAACGTTTAGTTCTGCTCGCGATCGTACTGAGAACAGCCGGTGGTGAATAATAAACCAATGAGCTGAGAATTTAGTTGGATAAAGCTACAGTTTGCAAACTGAAAGCTGCTAAAACAATCACATTTATTTTCCCTGACCGTTCTGTTCAGTACGTTCAGTACACAAATCACTCACTGACTGACTGACTGACTGACTGAGAGGGAGAGAGAGAGTCTCGGAGGCGGAGCTCTCGTTCAGTTCGTTCACTGAACGAAACACTGACTGAACGTGAACGAGCAAGACTGCGAGTCACCAGCCTCAGTCACACACACACACACTGTACTGACTGAAACACGATCGTTAGTAGATGTTAAAACAGTCAGCTGAGTGAAATTAAGTTGGATATAAAAGCCGTTTGCAAACTGACAGCAGCTATAAAAAGCACATACATTTTCGCGACACCTAAATGTTAAATAATATATTTGCTACTTCCTCAATTTTGGAGACATGAGAGGGAGAAGTAGGGGCGGGCTTTAGTGATGTTTTAGTGTAAAGTTCAACATATTACACCTTTAAAATAAAAGTCCCAACCCACCGCTTCAGAACAAACAGATGACAAACTGGTCGATGTTCGACCTCGTAAACTGGAGTTATCGCGTGGTTGTAGCGGCTGTGTGTGTGTGTGTGTGTGAGTCGTTCACACTCAGGGCTGCAGGCTGATTATCAGCGTGTGTGTGGCGCTGTGATAATAACATTCATATTTCCTCTGTTTGGTTTTCTTCGCTGCCACCTTCAATAAACATCCAGCGTTAAGACGGCTCAACTTCTCCTGACGTTCGCTGGCTGCTTGTTTTATCACCCGCTCCTTCAACAATAAAGAATCGTGATGTGTATCACTTTCTGCCTGACACAGACTCGCATCACAACAAGCACAGACACTGACACTAGATTATCTCTTGCTGGGTTCAAATAAATTTGTCCAGCTGCCGGACGTCGACTTTGTTTTGGATAAACAATCAGAGCGGTAACAGTCTTCAGCGCTAGACGAGATGTTTATTGGCCGAAGCAAAGATAATTCTCATTTGGGCTTTTTCTCATTTTACTTTAATCTTCTGAAATCTAACCAGAGGGGCCGTGCAGGAGAAGCTTCAGACATGAGGCTGCCTGTCTCATTAGTGGGGACACGAGATGACACTGTGATTATCAGATTAAGACCTACAGCATGACTCATCTTTTCTGGGTGTTTCAGTTACATCAGATAACGATGATGTACATGCTTACATCAACTTTCACTGACTACCATACAGATTTAGTGTTTTGTGTACGGAGGACGCAGACATGGAAGAAGGAGGATTTGTTAGAGCTCTCCGTTCTCCGTCTCAATAACTCAGAGTAGAGCTGCCTGGGGGCGTTTCTCCTCAACGTTAGCATCCTAAGCACCTTAAATGCAGAGTAATGGATCTTTAAGTCTCTTTACAAGCAGGTAAAAATGACCTTTAACCACATATCACCTCCAGAGTCTCACTTTAATGAGATTGGGGGGTGTTTGTTGGGACAGGACCAGGATCTGGTGCGTTGGCTTTAAATCTTCTCCCTGATTTGTGACAGCTCCTGAACTTGGCAGCAGAGAGAGAGAGATGGACACCACACTGCTTGTACATCTTTCTTTATCCTCCTGTTTGTGTTTATAATCTACAGAAATCAGGTTCAGACTGTAAACATGAAGTCTCACTCAAAGTCATTTGAAGTTTATCCTCTCAGTCATGGGTGTTTCTTGTTTCCCTCTCTCATCGTGGACATCTTCAGGTGGTGATAAACTGTGCCATTCCAAGGGGCTGAAGTACAACCAGGCCACGCAGACCTTCCACCAGTGGCGGGATGCCCGACAGGTCTACGGGCTGAACTTCGGCAGCAAGGAGGACGCCAACGTGTTTGCCAGTGCCATGATGCATGCTCTGGAGGTGCTCAACTCGCAGGATGCAGGTAGAGCTGCTTTTTTAAATGTAATTAGACTAAGAGGTAGGCTTCAATACGCACGATAAGAATCGTGGCTGAGTTGACTGACAGGTGGATGTGTTGCAGCTGTTTACCAGGATGCTTAAGGCCCGCTCTACCTCTATGCCTGTTTTTAGATTGATTGAAAGTTAGGTTGAGCTGCAGTGGTTAGCGCCTCCTAAGACATCCTTTAAATTAACTAGTGACTCTAAACTTCCTGTAGGTGTGAATGTGAGGGTGGCTGGTTGTCTGTCTCTACATGTCAGCTCTGTGATTGGCTGGTGAACAGTCCAGGGTGTACTCCACCTCTCACCCAATGACAGCTGGAATCAGCTCTAGCGATCCCGAACGGGACAAGCGGTTTAAGATTATGAATGGATGGACTGTCATTGTTGGGCTTCAAAACTACACTTCAGAAACCAGTGGGTGACGTCCATGTGTGTACAGTGTATGGTCAGTAGACGGGTACAGAAAATGTTCACCCACACACAGGGTGAACTTCTTCCTCTCTTCCTGTTGTACTGAAGCTTTGGGGGGGGCGTTCTGCTACATCTTGGCGATATTGTCAGTGCTGTTGCTTTTTTGGAGAATTTTAATTCAAACAGTTCTAATCATATGACCTGCAGTATAACCGTACTAATGTTGTAGTCCCCCCTCTTCGTGGCTGGCGACCTCCACTTTGGACACCACTGAGATAAGCAATCACTGTAATAAAATTTTAATTTTTTAAATTTTATATACTTTATTAATCCCAGAGGGGAAATTCTGGTCTGACCCTCTGTTATTGAGAGACATGCTTCTCACACACATAGGCCTGAATGGCATCTCTCCAGCTACCAGACCACCTTCCATATCAGGGTCCGGGACTTGAACCCTCCAGTTCCCTAACCAAAATCCCTGCAGTCTGAGCTACTGCCGCCTCCTGCAAACACAAAGTCAGACTTTTACTCCAGAGGTGTGAGGGACCAACATGTGTCTGATAAAGAAGCTGTTGCTGCTGTTTGGACATTTAGTGTTTCAGATGGTTTCACAGCGACTTTGTGTGCAGGAGGCATGAAACACGCAGAGACAGGAAGTTCTACCACGAGGGAGGAGGAACACTGTTGAAAAATTCAGCAAAACTAAAAACATGTGTCAACAATCAAATTGTTTTCCAGTGAACGCGAGTTACTAATGGCTTTACCAGGAACAATGATGGGAGTGAAATGTCACGTTTAATTCATCCCAGGCAGCTCACCACAAAGAGAGGGAGCTGTGTTTCACCTCCTCACTTCTTCTTCCAAACTTTGATTCCTACAGGCGCTGAACAATGGACGACTCCTGCTGATGACATTCTCCCTGAACGGGTTGAATTATTTTTAGCGTCATTGATCGTGATCCGTGCTCACATCTACCGATCATTTATCAAAGCTTTAATAGAACTGAAACGTCAAAGGGTAAAGTCGTCACAGGAGGTTTAGATGCATGAGGAGAGAGAGAGGAAGGATCCAGTATTCACATCACACTCATTCAAACAGCCACTTCTTTGGGCCTCAAATATTTGCACGCTGTGACTCCAGTGGTTCACCACGACCTTGGTTTTCTGAAACATGCTCTCATTATGTAGCTCCAACCTCTGGCTGTGTTTCTGTTACTGCCTAGAGAGACGAGAGAGGGAGGAGGGGCGGGGAGAGAGAGCATTGTTTCTCAGATGAGAGGAGGTCTTCAGTGTGGTTGTGCAAAGATTAAGACCCCAAATTTAAGGACTTCAAATTTATTTTGGTGCTGATTTCTCTGAATGTATACCTCTCCTCTCCTCCTTTTTTATTCCAGCAAAAAGACTATGCATAGACTTGTACTGTAGCCTCCATGTTTACTTTATATAAACTAAGAACCAGCATCTCCTCTCCTCTCCTCTCCTCTCCTCTCCTCTCCTCTCCTCTCCTCTCCTCTCCTCTCCTCTCTCCTCTCCTCTCCTCTCCTCTCCTTTCTCTTTCCTCTCCTCTCCTCTCCTCTCCTCTTTACTTTATATAAACTAAGAACCAGCATGACCTCTCCTCTCCTCTCCTCTCCTCTCCTCTCCTCTCCTCTCCTCTCCTCTCCTCTCCTCTCTCTCCTCTCCTCTCCTTTTCTCTTTTCCTCTCCTCTCCTCTCCTCTCCTCTCCTCTCCTCTCCTCTCCTCTTTACTTTATATAAACTAAGAACCAGCATGACCTCGCCTCTCCTCCTCTCTCTCTCTCTTCTCTTCTCTTCTCTTTTCCTCTCCTCTCTCTCCTCTCCTCTCCTCTCCTCCTCTCCTCTCCTCCTTTCTCTTTTCCTCTCCTCTCCTCTCCTCTCCTCTCCTCTCCTCTCCTCTCCTCCTCTCCTCTCCTCTCCTTTTCTCTTTTCCTCTCCTCTCCTCTCCTCTCCTCTCCTCTCCTCTCCTCTCCTCTCCTCTCCTCTTTACTTTATATAAACTAAGAACCAGCATGACCTCGCCTCTCCTCCTCTCCCTCTTCTCTTCTCTTCTCTTCTCTTTTCCTCTCCTCCTCTCCTCTCCTCTCCTCTCCTCTCCTCTTTACTTTATATAAACTAAGAACCAGCATGACCTCTCCTCTCCTCTCCTCTCCTCTCCTCTCCTCTCCTCTCCTCTCCTCTCCTCTCCTCTCCTCCTCTCTCCTCTCCTCTCCTCTTCTCTTCTCCTCTCCTCTCCTCTCCTCTCCTCTCCTCTCCTCTCCTCTCCTCTCCTCTCTCTCTAAGCCATGCCTCTCATCACCCTAATCCCATGCACTAATTAACCTGATAGTGATGCGCCTCATTATAGTAATTGTGCTACAAGGTTTGTGTGTGATGTGTTTGTGTGTGTGTGAGAAGACAAGGCACAGGACCAGAGAGACGTTCAGAGAGTCTAAGAGAGCTCATACCAGGAGAATGGCATCGCAAATTTGACGGGTAATTGTTTATGTGACATTTTGGAGTCATGCTTTATTTTTATGTTATGATATCCTGTGTTGTCAGAAATTGGTGGCTTACCTTTCTGTGGTGTTTCCTGCAGAAGCACAAGGCAGCGTCTGTACAGCATCTGTTGTTTAATATCTGTGTAAAGGTACCATTGAGCTTCTGTTTTAAAGAACCCTTCAGAGTTTCCATTTACCACAGTGACACACTCACACACCACTGGCTTCACTTTTAGGAGCCAATAAGGGTTCAGTGTCATCTGGACTGCAGGAGCTGGGGATTGAACCACCGATCGTATGACTGGGCCACGGCCCACTTGACCTTTGAACCACATCCTGATTGTGCATTCATTTATGTAGCTATAATAACTAGCTGTGATTAGCAGCTCATACAGGTGTTAGCTCTGAGTCTGGTTGTTTATCCGACGCTGTCGTTTATATTTCAGTGTAAAGATCTGAAAGCACATCAGGAGAGCTGTACAGGATCCATTTTTTTTTTTTTTTACGGGTTGTGGGGTAATGATGGTTTCTTTGGCATTTGAATGTTTCTAAAGGAGGAAGTGACGTCCTGTGACTCACAGCTGAACTGAGAAGAGTGCTCTGAGTCACCGGTGAGCAGCTCTGCTTACATGAAGCTGCTGATTTGATAAGTGACAGCGCTGATTGAATGTCATCAATAATGAAAGCACAGAGAACTCAACGCCCCTGGCACCTTTTTATTGTCTTTCTTTCTATTTCCTCTCCTCTCACACATTTCCATTTTCCCTCTCTTGAGTTCTCCCACTCCCCCCCCCCCCCGTCTCAGAGCGCTGCAAACAGAAGCCAGAGGAAGACGACTGCATGGGTTTCCCCTTTCACCCCACTGTTTTTGCTTCTGTATTTCTGTCCTGACAGCTGCTCTCTGTGGCGCCTCTTCCATCTGAGGACCTGACAATCCTCCCCACAGCCCGGCTTCACCCTCCATCACTCACTCAGTGGGAGTCTCACTCCTGCCACACGGAATCAGATCACTCATTTCAGACCTCCGTTTGTTGGACGTGGTGATTTGTTTTGTGTGAACGATGTAGAGGAAGCGTCCATTTGTAATGTGGTTGCTGTGCCCCCCCCCCCCCCCATTATAAATTGACATGTTGAATGAAGGGATCATGAGGAAGTAGAGAATCAATTAATAAATCAATCCATTTGTATTTATGTAGCATCATATACAACCAGAGTTAACTCATAACACACAAAATAGACACAGTCTGGCTCAACCTTTTGTAATATTAAATATAGATCCACCCAGACAGGAAACACACAGAGCATCATGTAGATTTCAAAATAAAACACAATATACAAACTCACGATCGTATCTTCCATCACCATCTGCAGAAAGACAAAGCAACATGTTGTTTGCACGTTTTCCTCTTTCATCCTGTGTGATCTCCTGTGATGTGTGTGCCGCTTGTCATGGCTGCGCTCAACCCCTCCCCCCCCCCCCCAGAACCCCTTGGTGACCCCCCCAGAGGCTCGGGGCCCACACTTTGAGAAACTCTTGATACACCAATGTGCAGCCATTTTTAAAACCTCCATTGGAAGTGTGTTTGTGTTAAACTTCTGCTGTGGTTCTCCTACAATAGAAAGTTCATTTATAGTGTCTGGGAGCTATAAACAGGCTACGCTTTTATCCAAAGTGCTCCACATGAGCGTGACCTTCTCCGGGCCGTGTTCTCACTCTTCAATAATCAATGGAGACATAAACGATAAGGCTCTAAATCACAGTGAGCCTCAGCAGGAGGAGAACGGGACAAAGTGCACGATGGAGAGTCAGCAAGGACACTCTCTTAAGTGTGTGAGCCTGATCGATGGTTTGAGGGGGGGTCCTGCTCAGGGTCAAGGTCTTTTATTTGTCGTTCTTTAACACGAGGTTGTTGCTCTGTAACAAATAGATCCAGTGATTCAAAGTGAATAAAAACCAGTGTCACCACGTGCTCTGTGTACAGAGGCTGTCCTCGTTGTCTTTGAATGTGACCTCGGCCCTTTGCTGCACGTCACACCACCACCCCCCACCCCCTCCTCCCATCACTTCCTGTC